TAAATGGCAGCAATTCCAAGTCTAGGATCAAGCTTGCGTTAATTTTTCGTTATACTTTGATTTTGAATTGCCACATTTCAGGAACGATCCCGTTTTCTCGACCTAGAGCTGTAATAGCCAAAGCAGTAACACAGTGCGTTCAAAGTAACGCCTCTTTATCATACTTCATCTCCTCTTTTTCTCCGGAACCCCAAACCTCGGTTTTTCTCTGCTGGACTCCCTAGGTCTCTAATGCTTGTGTGCTAAATAAAGCCCATTCCCTTTCCTGCGTTGTTTCGCAGGGACAAGGGGGAAGTGCTGCCCTTCCTACCCTAGAGCTCTAGATGGCGCCAGAGAGCCACAATTACAAGCATGCTCTCAAAGGAATCAAGAGCGACTGTCAAACATAAAAGCAAATCAGAGTTTTCAGTTTTTTTAATGTGTTAAGAATGTTATTCCTTAAGAAAATTTGTAGCTAAATTATTCTCACTTAAAATAAACACTTAGTATACCAATTACACAAATGGGCGGGATTTATGTAAGATTTACTTCATCTGCATTTTTGTAGTGGAAGAGAGCCTTGGTGAATACAGATAATAGATGCAAATAAGATTAGAGTTAAAATAAATAAAGTTTTCATCTGAATAGAAGAAAATCATTTTTACATGACTTTTAATGATTTAACGAAAAGTCCACACATGCATTCAGGTGTACGAATCTAATCTCAAAATAATAATTTTTTAAAGCAAATGCTGTAATTCTCAATCCTCTCACCCCCACCCCCACCCCACCCCCCACTCATCAGGTAGGAAGCTACCAAGGGAAAAAGAACAATGACAACAGCAGAAAATAGAACTCCTAGTGGATCAGAAACTTAGACAACGAGTTCTGGTGGGGCAGGAGAAGTCAACTCCGGAGCTGGGCCCTCGACCCCCGAAGCCTTGCTCCAAACCTGTTTGGATTGGGGCTGGGTGGTGGCAGGGATGGGCGAAAACTTAGCCGAGCTCCTGGTACTGAAGGTGAAACTCGCAAAACATCTGAAATGACACCGAATAAAGCGAAATTAAATTTTCAAAACGTGGGGCCAATAGCGACTTCTAAACCAGCTTCGCTGGACTAAACTCCCCGAACTAGAAAGGACACTCCAATTCTCTTAGCTTTGTCCTAGGCTCCCTCTCACCCTGGGTGACGCCGAGGCCCATCCTCCCAAGCCGAACCAGGAGAGCTCTAGATTCCAGCAGGTTCTCCACTTAAATCTCCCTAAGGAAATGCTATTCAATAATATGGTCTTGAGAGGAAAATTAAGGAGTTTTTATACGATCGGTTTTGTTTACTTTCCCAGAACGTCGCCAGACTTTCCTCCAAAATTTATTCTTATTCACACATCCATTTGCCAACCAACCACTTAGGTAAAAATTTTTCCGAACCCAAACCCATTCACCCTTATGGGTTTATCTACTGATGCCCACAACATCTTGGGAGTTAGGGATTTGGGTTTTATTGAGAGAGTGGTGCCGGGGGGTGGGAAGGGCCGAGGGGGGAGAGGGTGCCTTTTTCTTTGTTGTTTTGTTTTTTTTTTAAAGGAGAAGGAGGAGAATGTGTTTTCCCCCTCCACTCTTTTCTTTTCAGGTTACACGCTCTCTATTTTCCTCGCTGAAGGAACCGGCTCTGCAGCCCCTCAGCCGTTTCCCCATCTCGGTTTCTGGGGAGTCTGCAGATGATGGACGTTTTTTGACCTGCAGGGGCAAAAGCAACGCAAAGAGGTCCTTGATCACTGAGCTGAGAAGTGTAGCCCTAGCCGGAGAGAAACTGGACCTGGATGGTCAGGTCCTTTGATCTGTTTTTATTATACATGGGAAACAAAGCTGACTTCTGCCCAACACCCAGGGAGCATCGCATTCCTCTGAAAACCCAACAACATTAACAACCAGCTAGGAGGGGAGCCCAGCAGCCCCGGCGACCTCACTTGTTTATTTTACCCTGGCCCGACAGTGTCATCCTCACCAAGCTCTACTCCTCTCCCATCCTCCTTCCCCCCCTCAAATTCCCACCCCTACCCCCAAATACCATGCATCTTCCACCAGCTTTTCCAGGTATCCACCCGCCTCCTCTAGGTGGAAAGACCGAGAGAAAACACCCAAGGGAAACTCTGATAACATCAGCTCGAGGTGGCAGAGAAAATAGGAAAGAGAAAGAAGTAAAAATCCGGGAAAAGTAGTACGGTATAGGAAAGCTGTGGGAAAGGCAAGCTAGGGAAGGCCGGGGGTGGGTGGGTGGGAGATCGGGGGCACAATGGTATCACGTTGTTAAATGACACCAAAGCTGTTCTGAATGCCCCTGAAAAAAAATGCTGCTTGGCAGGATGGATCCCTTTCTGTCCCGCGTGCCTGGCGACCTGCACTAGTACTTATCATCCTTAAGAGTCTGATACTTGACTGTGCTTTCCAGAACGGTATTTTGAGAGGGGATGTTTTGTTAAGAATTAACAATGGTTTATAGGAGATTTTTTTTTTTAAGATTCAAAATCCTCATTCGAGTTTATATGACCGGCAGTAATAAAACAGAATTTCCGTGAGGGCTGGCTTAGCTTGCGTTTGCTATTGTGTAGGGGGCGCTTAGAAATATTTTTATTCTTTGAACACGGACTTTATTTTCTAAATTAACATTTTTTGAATTGCGAAATTATCTCATTTAACCATTTTCTTTTGCCTCTCTCCTCTCTCTTTTAGACTGTGGCTGTTAAGTTGGTGGTCAGAAGACAAAGGGAGTGAAAATAATTTTCATTTCAATAATTGCCTTCTGGTCAATTTAACTGTGCCTTATTTTGAAAGAGACTGTCTAAATGAGATTCCTGTCCCAAATGTGTTCCCAGGCCTTATCCCAGCCTTTAATTATTCCTGAGTTTTTTTTCTTCAGAATAAGACGCTGCGCTGAGTAATCACAAAGAAGTCAGAGAGCATCCTTGAACCTTTTCAATAGCAGAGCCACTGATATTCAAATAACCTGCGAGGGCCATTTGACTGCATGGGGACATAAGCATTTCCAATTCACTATTTGCATAGATCAACTGTCTTTGAAAAGGGAAGGAGCAGTTGTCTTCCATAACATTAAAAAGCCTAGTTATCAAATCAAGTGCTTAGTTTGGGGGCTTTTAAAACGTTTACACTTTATCTCAGGTTGCCCTTTACCGTTTGACATGCAAATTTGGTGCAGTTAATTTAGACAATTAAAAAGATCTTCAAGGGAGCTTTGTCACGGAGAATATTCCGAGTTTTCCCCGTGGACCAGCTGAGATAAAGTTGGCCAGAACAAATGATGTCTAGGAGATTAATTAGATATTTGATAAGACATGAATCCCTAATAAGGGAATACAAGGCACAGGGGGCTGCTGTGTGCTCTAAGTCAAAATTAATAACATTTAACAAGATTTTCATTTAGGCATGAAATGTCTTTTCCGGAATCTGACTAGCGATTTATCCCCCTGAGATCACCTCGCAACCTACGCAGCTTTGAGAGGCTAAAGACATTTTTGTAATGTTTTATTTTTCTTACTCGCTTAAAAAACAAACAAACAAAAATCCCTACAGTTTTACTATGATCTAGGAATGTTCCCTCCAACTGGAGTTTTCAAGTTTTAAAAATGCAAACTGCCTCCTTTTATCAAGCTTCCAGGAATTTAAAAATACCACCTTTTGAAAGAGCTTACATTAAGAAGGGCAGCTAACATCTTTGAGAAACAAATATAGCTGTTGAAATACAGATCATTTTGCCTTTTCAGACATTTCTACATCTTATGGGTTTTTTTTTATGAAGCAGATATTCCCTATATCGACTACTACTACCATTGATGGGATTTTCTCCCCCACCAGGAAAAAAAAATTCTACCCATGGAAGGGTTGTTTAGGGGGAGGGAGGGAGGAGAAACCGGGAAAAGGAAGTGTATTGTTCAGAGTCCTTTAATAATAATAAAAGGAAAATATTATGATGCCAAGATTTTCGTCATACAGATAAACGCATTTAATTTCTTTAGATGACCTTAACTTACGTGTTTGTGAGTGAAATGATAACTCAACATTTTAAATATCTTTACATATATACTGACTTCCACAAAGTGCATCAGAAAATTAAAAAAAAAATCTCCCTGAATTTCAGGAATTCACAAAAAAAAAACCCTATTCGAATAAACATTTACAAGAAAATAAAAGAGAACACAATCTTTTGAACCCTATTTATACAGATGTTACGAAATACAGAGAAATTGTCTTTTAGACTTCCAGTTTAATTTCTCACCTTAAGCCTCTTTTTTGATGCTTCCTTTTTAAAAAGTCTCATTGTAAATAGATATCATCAAGCAGGACTTGGAGTATTTTATATATAATATAATCCACACAAAGGGTCTGTTTTTATAGGTCCCATTTGTTTTCAAATGTTCTGACAGTCTCTGCTGGGTGGTGGGATTTTGTTTGTTTTTTTTTTTTTTGAGATGGGGAAGAGGTGGGTTAAGGGGGGGGAGGTTGGGTTGAGACAGAGGAGGGAGAGTTTATGTATTGCTCTTCACTCGAGAAGTTTGTATGGCGGGTGTGTGTGTGTGTGTGTGTGTGTGTGTGTGCGCGCGCGCGTGTGTGTATGTGTGTGTGCGTGTGCGTGTTTTTCTGCGTCTCTGTGGGTTAAAAAAAGAAAAAACTGTTTTGAATTTGTCGGGGTTGTTACTAGCTGCTGTCCCTGGACCAAGCGTGGTATATTCAAGTCTCCGCTGCAGTCTGGAAGGGAGAGATTCGCCTAGAGCGGGGCGGGCCACACCTCCCGCTCCAAACTCTGGCGCTGGAGCTCACCAGCGGCTCCTTCTCCTTCTCCAAACGCGGGGAGCAGAGGAGGACTAGGGGGAGACGGGAGGGAGCCTCTCTCGCGCTCGCTCGTGCTCTCCGCATCTCTCGCTCCCATTCGCTCTCGCTCTCGCTCGCTCTGCGTGTCTCTGTCTCTCTTGCTCGCTCGCTTGCTGGCTCTCCTCACTCTCACCACCTCTAAGAGTCGTTGGGCCCCGAAGTGGATTCCTTGCCTCCCGCTGAAGCAGCTGCCGCCGCCGCCGCCGCCGCCGCCGCTGCAGCCGCCGCCGCCGCAGCCGCCCGGGCCGCGCTCACTCCGGAGTCGTGAAGGATGAGGTCCGGGGACTCGGAGCGGGGCGTCTCCAGGTTGCTCGCGTCCGTGTCACTGTCGCTGCCCTTTTTGCCCCCGCCGCCCCCGTTGTGTGTTTTAATGTGTTTGCTCAGGTGGTCGCTGCGCATGAACCGCTTGTTGCACACCGGGCAGGCGAAGCGCTTCTCGCCCGTGTGAGTCCGCAGGTGCCGCTGCAGCTCGTCCGAGCGCGTGAACCTCTTGCCGCAGAAGAGCCAGTTGCAGACGAAGGGCCGCTCGCCCGTGTGCCAGCGCAGGTGCGCCTTCAGGTGCGACGTCTTGCCGTACACCTTGCCGCAGCCGGGGATGTGGCAGCTGTGCAAGCCCTTCCGCCGCAGGCTCGCCCCGGCGGGCCCCAGCCGCTCCGCCTCCTGGCAGTTGGGGCAATCGCAGGTGGCCCGGCCCGAGTAGCGGCGGGCAGAGCGCGCCGAGCTCCCCCCGGCGGCGGCGGCCGCGGCGCCTGTGATCATGGCGCTGGCGGCGGCCGCCACGGCGGCGCTGGAGTCCGTGTAGGAAGGCAGCACTGGCTTGAAGCCCTCCTGGGTCAGCAGGTGCTGGCTGGTGGAGAGCAGGTGCGAGGCGGCGGCAGCCGAGGAGCCGAGGCCGGTGGAGCTGAAGGCCGAGTGCGTGAGCGAACTCAAGTCGGGGTTGTAAGTGCCCAACTGCGAGTGCAGCGAGGCCTGGGGGGCGCCCGAGTGCAGCGAGCTCTGGAGCCCCCCCGCCGGGTTCTGCACCTCCAGCCACGAGCCGGGGTTGGTGTGCACGTCCCACCACGAGGAGGCTGCCCCGTTGGTCACCTCGCCGGCCGCCAGGGTGGAGTGGAAGCCGGACTTATACCAAGACTCGTAGGGGTGTGCCATGCCCACGCGTGGGTACAAGCTGTCGGCCGCCGACGTGTGCACCTTGGAGATGAAGGCCGACTGGCCGCCGGCTTCCTGGGGGGACACCCCGGCCGCCGCTGCCGCCGCCGCCGCGGAGTTGGAGAAGAGGCCTCCGTAGTCGCTGCTGAAGGCGGACGACGTGGGCGAGGTGGAAGCCAGGCAGAAAGCGCTGTTGGCGGCGCCCGAGCCGCCAGCCAGTCCGCTGGAGCCTCGGCTGCTGGTGGCCACCGCGAAACCCGAGAGGCTGGAGCCTAGATTACAGCTGGAGGTGGAGCGCTTCCAGGGGTGGAAGCCCCCCTTGGCGAAGGCGCTGGACTCCGGTAGCGTCGTCAGGGGGCTGGTGTTGCCGATCTTGTTGCAGGTCGCGGCCAGCATGGCCAAGGGGGTCGTTCCAAATCTTGGCTCTTCCTAGATGGGGTGGGGTAGGGGGAGTATAGAGCGGGATAGAGGGAGGAGAAAGGGAGGAGGATAGAATGGGGGAGGGAGAGGGCGGGAGGAGGTGGGGGGGAAAGACACAAAAGTGCACCCGTGAGCAGCCTCATCACCCCCGTACTAGACAGTCAAGGAGGGGGGCGGCCCCCCCATTTCACACCTCCCAACCCCCTCCCATAACACTCCACTTGGCTTCCGCACACCCCCTTTGCACACACAGAGGGCAGCCAGCGCACCATGCTAGGGGCAGAGGGAATCAAAAGGAATGCTTTCTGGGATCCAAAAAGTTGCTCTTCTTTGGGGAGGTTAACAAATAAAAGATGCATCCATTTATCCAGCGACACTCGCAGCAGCAACTCCAACCCAGAATCGGGGCGCGGGTTTGCTTCACTTTTAGCCTGTCGTGTGCAGAACCAGACCCCTTTTTTATAGAATCGACCCAAATCATTGCCTTTTAGGGATAGAGGGAGAAGGTAAATATAACAATAATAAATAAGAGGGGTGGGAAAGAGGTATGATAAACAGCGGCACAGACACCAAAGCGAATGCCAATCACTGAATCAGCCATTTCCTCCCAAATCTTCCTATGATGTTGATCTGTATTTTAATTTAAAATTTTTCCCATTTACAAAAAAGCAAAAACCAAAAAACAACCCGATTCTGAATGCAACAATAATCCGAGATGAAACGACATACGGCGACGGATTCCAAAGTCACAGAGAGGTTGGGCAAACCGGGATAAAAGCACAAACGTAAACGTTTGTTTACGCGACTAAACAGACTTCAATACAAATAAAGCTGCTTTCTGGAAACCCCACGGTAGCTAATTGCAACATTTCCCAAAGTTGGGGGAAGGGAACAAGGGGGAGGGGAGAATAAGTCACGAGAAAGAACGAACCCCCCCCTTAAAACCAAATCAAAGGGAGCTTGCATACAAATTGTTTTATTGCAAAGGCGTTTCCAGAGCTCCCCAAACTTGAACGGAATCTGCCCAGAAAACGCAGCAAGAATCTTTAAAGAACCAGAAACTGCATTACAGCAGCAACAGTTTCTCAAGTAACCGTCCCCGAGAAGCCATAACAAAAAAGTATATAAATAAAGTCACTTAAAATGTGCAAATACATATCTGCGCCTCCGACTTACCCCAAGTATAGACGTAGCCATAGCACGTCCCTTGGCTGAGTGCTGGGGCCGAATGAGGGGCTCTGCCAGTCGCGGCGGAGAGGAGGAGAGTTTCCTCAGTTCCCTCCTTCTCTCCCCGCTTTACACCGCTTGCACTAAGTATACTCCTGGCTCCTGTGGGCAAAACTCAGCCTAAGTGTGGGGAGCGCCTGCTTTGAAGTACCGCTGGCTAGGACTCTCACCCAATGAGGGCGCAGAGAGAGCAGACAGGAGCTGCCCCATAGCCAATCAGACACTCCGAGGTGCCAGAACCAGGGCTCCGGGCGCGTGCCAGTCAAAGGCAGAAGGGGGGGAGGGAACGCAATGCTTTGGACTGAAGAAATTATACTGCAATTAAAATTTTAAAAACACACACAACAACAACCTAGGTTTAAATAACGCTGAGATTGTGACACAAAACAACAAAACCCGAGAAATGCAAAGTTAGATGTGACTCTTCCCTCACCACTTGTGGGAAAATGGGGTAGGATGGGGGGAGGGGGGGAGGAGGCACCAACCAGGGCAGAAGGGGAGAAAGAAAATGTGAAAATGTCAGTTGTTAAATTTGCATTTCCTTACTTTTGCCAGTCTATATGATAATTTTATCATTTTACAACTCTCTCTCTCTCTCCCCCCCTCCCCACTCACTTTATATGCAATCTGTATTGCTATCTGTGCATGCATTTACCAAGTCACTTATTACTCCTCTACCTAATTTCTATAACCTCTGTTATCCTGGAAAGAGGTACACTAGGTAGAGAAGCAGAACAGAAAAGACAGAATCTTATTTAAAGAGTCCTCAGTCCTCTCTACATCCGCCCAATAAAAATATCCTATATACTAATCCAAGGGAGACCCTGAGCATTATTTACCCAATAGCTTAAAACGTCTCCTTAAATTGACACTTTAGTCTATTAGGCCTTTGTCTTAGTTCCCAAGACCCACTTCACCCTAAAAACACCACCCTCAGAAAAAGCTTCTCCGAGTCTTTTGAAAAGTTTCTTTCAGCTCTTTATATACCAGGCAGTTATCAAATTTGATCAAACAGTAGGAGATATTGATTACTTTCCAGGTTTCATTTTGGAGAGATGGGGGAGAGGAGAAAAAGTATCTCTTAACATACTTTACCTTGATTTATTTTTATTGTTGTAACGACTTCCAAAATCTACATGAGAATTGTTTTCTTCTCCCCCTCCCCTATTCCTCCTTATTTTGTCTGAGAGAAGTTTTTGTTGTTGTTTATTTGCTTGTTGCAGCGGGTTAGGATCTAAGTGTTTGAGTGCAGCCTGATGTCTGGTTTTCATGCCACAACTCTACATCCCACCATTTGAAGCCTACTAAACGATGGCGGAGAGACTGCTTGCTCCTGTCTCACACCGCAGCAGCGCGAGGGCGCCGTTGTTAGCCTCTTCCTCCCCCACCCTCGGCTGTGGCCTGTCTGTACTGTGTACACTCTGCACTCCCCAGCGAACCACAGCCTCTTTACCTGCTCTCTTCGTTTGTTGAAATAGATATGTCCAAGTCGTGGGTCCTGGATGCATTGCAAACTAGTTTCTGTTTTTTGTAATTTTCAGAAGATTCTCATGTCCCTGCATTACTGTCACCCCAATAGTGGGTGGGTAGATAGATAATGCAAGTTTAGATATTAGGGTTGGATGTAGTTGCTTCTTTGGGGACATTACAAATGCTGATATCATTATGTTTCTTCCTTTTGGTGTCGCTCCCTTCTTTCTCTTCTCCAAGGCGGCAGCTGTCCACGATTTTTGAACCGGATATACGAATACATGCATACATTCAGTCAGGGTATTTGTTAAAATTCATTCTTTCCCCCCCAACTCTCCAGTCTAAGTCTTCTTCAAGTACCCAACCACTAAACCCCAAACCTGAGGTACAAAAAATGTATGGAAAGGGGCGAAGGAGGGGGAGAGGGACAGGGAGAGGGAGGGGGAAAGGGGAGAGAGAGAGAGAGAGAGAGAGAGAGAGAGAGAGAGAGAAAGAGAGAGAGAGAGAGAGGATTCGTGCCCCCAGTGTTATTTTGCCATTGCTGAATCTCTTTAGTTAAAAGTGCGACCATCATAATATTATGCTTTGCCTTGAGACTGATCCAATCTGTAGTCAGTGTAGCCCAGTGGGCAAGAATATCCTTGTAGGTCTCTTAATCTTCAATAAACTACTTTGGCAAGGAGTGTTTTTAAGGTGAGAAAGGATAAAGGAAAATTATATTCTATTTCAAAACGCCCTCCCAAATGGAGAGAGAGAGAGAGAGAGAGAGAGAGAGAAACAAACCCTGAGCCCAGCTTTAACAGTAGCCTGCTTACCCAGGGGAGCTGTAGTGATAATCGGGTAGAGGCGTTTGAAGAGCTCCCCTGGGGGTGGGGGTGGAGGGAGCCCAGCAGCCCGGACAAGCCAGAGAGCCCGGCAGGGGCACCGGGAGTCATTCCCCAACAGGTGACTCTTTCCCATAGGGTGAGGACTAGCACTCCTGTTTATTTAGAGGCCCGGCGTTGATTTACTAATAGAGGTGATTGTTAAGTGGCAGCGAGGCGTTTCAGACCCACCCCGGAGCAGTCCAGGGAGGAGAAATGGCGAAGGTTCCCCCCCCATCCACCCACTCCCCCCTCCTCTCTCCTTAAGGAAATCTGACAAAGTAATAAATATGACGATCCGAAAAGCCACTTAGCGCCAGTGACATTTTAAAGTCAACCATTTAAAACAGTTCACGCCAGCACCTCATACTCTTGCCTCCCTCGTTCCTTTCCTTCCCTCTTCTCCTCCCCCTCCCCCCCTTTCCCGTTTCATGTTTTCAAACGTATTTCCAGCTGTCAGCATCTATCTATATGGGCATATAGTTATTTCTAGAGATACCCACGTCCTGATCACAATAAAAGTTAGTGAAATCTCCCAACCTAAAGAAGACAGTTCTCCACGTTCCATACACCAGTGCCACTTAAGCGGGACGGGGCGGGGTGGGGGGCTTACTAGGAAATCTTTAGGCGGAGGTCCAGCTTTTTTTCCCCCTTTCCTCTGACAGATTTTTTCATACTCTAAAAATCTAGTTTTTAAACAAAGATCAATGTGTTATGCTAAAGTGTTGAGCTGACTGTTAAAACATTTGGGGAAATAATGACAATGTAACAAAGGCCTGGTTTGGAGTGAATCATCACCCTTTTAAAAGTTAAAGCAATTTTCAGGAGAATAGCTTTCAGCAAACGCTTTACATTATTCAAAACGGCCAAATAATGCTCTATTATAGCGCCTGAATGCTGCCAGTCAGCCCATAAGTGCAATTTGTGCAAAGGCTCGGTGCCTTATCTCCACTTCTTTATAAAGAGGTGAATATAAAACAATTTCTTCCAAACCCAGACAGAGAGCACGAAAATTGCTTCCCTTTCTGCAATCAGGGCAATTTAACTGGAGTGCAATTAGCACTATTAAATGTCGATTCTGCATAAACAAATCTGACTAAGAAGCGAAAGTGGGGTGAGAACCTCATATACACTGAAACTGATTTTTTAAAATTATGTATCCGGGTCCTTCACAATTGATTCGTGACGTTTTCTCCTTGGAATATATTTACATTGTAAATACACTATCGTGAAATACACTTTTTTTTTATTTGTTATAAAGAAACACCCAACAACTCAATAAGAATCCTAATAAAGAAGAATGGGGTAATTAAAGGGTGCACTTCACTTCCTTCGAACAAATATTGTTTCCCCCATCTTGCATCTCCACTGGGCTTTGATCTGAGCCAGTGCTAAAGTTGCAGTGTTTAGAAGGCAAAGCTGAGGAACAATTCCTTCATTAGAGCTGACTGGAAGGATCCGGGGTTCGTGCGCCACGGATGAAATGATTCTCCCTCGCGTTCAAGGAAGCAAGGTTCTGGGAGAGAGGCGCCAAATAGGTTCTGAATAAATCGATATAATAGCTGGTTAAATGTAAGGTGGCAGCACAATTTCCTAGAAACCTCAGAAAGGCGCAGACTTTGCCCACGGATGTTACAGGGATGCAATGGGATGAGATGGAAGGGGGACAGAATTGGGTGGGGATGGGGGGGGAATAAGAAGAGCAAGGAAAGGAGGAGGGAGGAGGGAGGCACAGACCTTTTCCAGTTCAGCTGCAGTCAGATCTTCTGCCACACGGAATGGGTGTGCGGGGGAGACCTGCAAAAAGCACCTTTCTGACAATTCATCGCACCCTGCCATGTTTTGTTTTGCTTTTTTTTAAGCTACCGTGGCTCTCTTTCTGAGTCCTTCTCCCAGTTTTGCTTTTCATTTACATTTCCTATGCTCCAGCAATGATTTTCGGATCAACCAGACACGGGAATTGGGGAGATAAATGAAATAACTTTAGTTGAGAAAGGGCTTTCCTTCTGTACTTATCAAAGACTGGTTATGAAAAGGGGAGCAAGGAGACGATGTTAAAATGCAGACCTTGGTGCCTGTTGAGTCCAGAGAATTCTCCTCTTCTCCCAACTCCTCCCCCCTCCCCTCCCCAGTAGAGTTTTTCATTTGAGGGCAAAGATGTAGCCACGCTTTTGATTAGAAGAGACTCTTTTATAGTTAAGAATAATACTAGTACTAATAAAAGAGAGGGGGGAGATAGCACTGCGATCAAATGGATCAAGGAAATTAATTGAAAAAATTATGGAACTCTCCCACAATTTTCAAGAGGCTTTCATTTCTTATTTGTTACATAACGCCCTCTTGCTGCCCCCACCTCTGCCAATGAAAGGAACAGGAAGGATCAATTGACGAATGGATTTAATCTTTCCTCGGTCTTGAAGGTGCCACTGCTATTTAGAGGTAACAGAGAGATGCAGATTTCCCTACATCTGTGAGGAGGAGGAGGAGGAGGAGGTGGCTGCTGGAGGAATTGAAAAGCCCTGGTCTATTAAGTGCTTTCCAAAGGTTTGCCTACATAACTAATTTTCCACCTTGAAATGTATTTGGACCATCCATATATTTTAAGCCTTCCTTGTTCTGTTGATCTGAGCCAAAAAC